GAAGGACGGCGTGTGGGCGCTGCAGAACGAGGCCACCAAGGAGCGCACCGCCCAAGCGTTCCTCCGTGTTGATGACGAGCATCTCAAACTCTTCGAAACCCGCGTGCGGCAGATCCTCATGTCGTCTGGATCCACGACCTTCACAAAGATCGCCAACAAGTGGAACACGGCGCTGATCGGCCTGATGACCTACTTCCGAGAGGCCACCGTGCACACCGAGGAGCTCCTGGACCTGCTTGTCAAGTGTGAGACCAAGATCCAGACGCGCGTCAAGATCGGGCTCAACTCCAAGATGCCGTCGCGGTTCCCTCCCGTGGTGTTCTACTCGCCCAAGGAGCTAGGCGGGCTGGGCATGCTGTCCATGGGCCACATCCTGATTCCGCAGAGCGACCGGCTCTACAGCAAGCAGACGGACATCGGCGTCACGCATTTCCGCGCGGGGATGAGTCACGAGGAGGGCGCGTTGATCCCGAGTCTGTACCGGTATATCCAGCCGTGGGAGAGCGAGTTTGTGGACAGCCAGCGCGTGTGGGCGGAGTATGCGCTGAAGAGGAGCGAGGCGCAGGCGCAGAACAGACGGCTGACTCTGGAGGATCTGGAGGACTCGTGGGACCGGGGGATTCCGAGGATCAACACGCTGTTTCAGAAGGACCGGCACACGCTGGCGTATGACAAGGGGTGGCGCGTGCGCACTGGGTTCCAGCAGTACCAGTTCCCGAAGCAAAACCCCTTCTGGTGGACGCACCAGCGGCACGACGGGAAGCTGTGGAACCTCAACAACTACCGGACGGATGTCATTCAGGCTCTGGGCGGAGTGGAGGGTATTCTGGAGCACACCCTGTTTAAAGGCACCTACTTCCCCACGTGGGAGGGGCTGTTCTGGGAAAAAGCGTCCGGGTTCGAGGAATCAATGAAGTACAAGAAGCTGACGAACGCGCAGCGGTCCGGGCTGAACCAGATCCCGAACAGGCGGTTTGCGCTGTGGTGGTCGCCGACCATCAACCGGGCGAACGTGTACGTGGGGTTCCAGGTGCAGCTGGACCTGACGGGCATCTTCATGCACGGCAAGATCCCCACGCTCAAGATCTCGCTCATCCAGATCTTCCGCGCGCATCTGTGGCAGAAGGTTCATGAAAGTGTGGTGATGGACATCTGCCAGGTGAGGCTTGGAGGCGGGAGGGGGGGGAAGGGGGGTAGGTGGCAGGTTAGGGTGGTGGGTTATTCTGTTACGTGGGAGGTAAGTTGCATTGGCTCGTGTGGCAGAAGGTGCACGAGAGCGTTGTCATAAACATCTGCCAGGTGAGGCGGTGGGTCTGAAGGGGCTGGGGGGCTGAAAGGGCTGGGGGGCTGAAAGGGCTGGCTGGGGGGCTGAAGGGGCTGGCTGGGGGCCTGAAGGGATGTCTTCCATGCCAGGTGAGGGTGAAAGGGAAGGGGCATTTACCACGTGGGATCTAAGATGAGCAATTCTGAAACGTGTAACATGTGTAACAGTGACATCTCTCAAGCTGGTTTTTTTTCAAGCTGCTGTCCTGTCCTTGCGCATTCTCGTCTGCACATATCCAACTCCTTCCCACCCCCTCCGACCCCTTTCTACCTCCTCCGCCTTGTGTGTTCGTGTTTCCCATCCCAGGTGCTGGACCAGGAGCTCGATGCACTGGAGATCGAGACTGTGCAGAAGGAGACGATTCATCCGCGCAAGTCGTACAAGATGAACTCCTCATGTGCCGACGTGCTGCTCTTCGCGGCCTACAAGTGGCCGGTCTCCAAGCCCTCCCTGGTCGCTGACTCCAAGGACGCCTTTGACCAGAAGGCCACGGACAAGTTCTGGATCGACGTGCAGCTGCGGTGGGGCGACTATGACTCTCACGACATCGAGCGCTACACCAGAGCCAAGTTCCTGGACTACACGACGGATAACATGAGCCTTTACCCGTCGCCTGCTGGCGTGATGATCGGGATTGACCTCGCGTACAACCTGTGGTCGATCTATGGCAACTGGATCCCCGGCATGAAGCCGCTGCTGGCACAGGTGAGGGTTGGAAGAGAGTGAGAGAGGGGGGATGGGACGGAGAGGGGGTTGAAGGGACAGAAGGGGATTGGGACAGAGTGTGTGTGAGAATGGGCAGAGGCATTGGGCGGGGATGTTTTTTGCTGTGCCAAGACCCTCTCCTGTTTTGATCCCCTACTCCTTCCGTCGCTGTGTGTTGGTCATCCTTACATTACCTCACTCTTCAGGAGCACGGTTACAGGTACCTGTTGCTGTGTCAGTCTCTGCCTTCACCACCTCATTGATCTGTCCTCCCTCGCGCACCCCAATCCTCCCCTCCTTCCCTAACCCACCTGCCCTCCCCCCCCTCCGCTTCTCACAGGCGATGGCAAAGATCATGAAGGCCAACCCAGCTCTCTACGTGCTGCGCGAGCGCATCCGCAAGGGCCTGCAGCTCTACTCCTCCGAGCCCACCGAACCCTACCTGTCGTCGCAGAACTACGGCGAGCTGTTCTCTAACCAGATCATCTGGTTCGTGGACGACACGAACGTGTACCGCGTGACCATCCACAAGACGTTCGAGGGCAACCTGACCACGAAGCCCATCAACGGCGCCATCTTCATCTTCAACCCGCGCACCGGCCAGCTCTTCCTCAAGATCATCCACACGTCCGTGTGGGCCGGGCAGAAGCGGCTCGGGCAGCTGGCGAAATGGAAGACGGCGGAGGAAGTCGCGGCACTGATTCGGTCTCTGCCGGTTGAAGAGCAGCCACGGCAGATCATTGTGACGAGGAAGGGCATGCTGGATCCCCTCGAGGTGCATCTGCTGGATTTCCCCAACATTGTCATCAAGGGGTCCGAGCTGCAGCTGCCCTTCCAGGCGTGCCTCAAGATTGAGAAGTTTGGGGATCTCATTCTCAAGGCGACCGAGCCTCAGATGCTGCTGTTCAACATCTACGACGACTGGCTGCGCTCCATCTCCTCCTACACCGCCTTCTCTCGCCTGATTCTCATCCTGAGGGCTCTCCACGTGAACAACGAGAAGGCCCGCATGCTGCTGCGCCCAGACAAGAGCGTGGTCACCCAGGCGCACCACGTGTGGCCCACGCTGACTGATGAACAGTGGATTCGCTGCGAGGTGGCGCTGAAAGATTTGATTCTCGCGGATTACGCCAAGAAGAGCTCGGTGAACGTGTCCGCGCTGACGCAGTCGGAGATCCGGGATATTATTCTCGGCGCGGAGATCGCGCCGCCGTCCATCCAGCGGCAGCAGATCGCGGAGATCGAGAAGCAGGCCAAGGAGGGCGGCGCGGGCGGCGCACAGCTGACGGCGGTTACCACGCGCAGCACGAACAAGCACGGAGACGAGCTCATCGTGACCACCACCTCGCCCTACGAGCAAGCCGCCTTTGCCTCCAAGACCGACTGGCGAGTGCGAGCCATCTCAGCAGGGAATCTCCATCTGCGCGTGGGTCACATCTATGTGGCCTCCGACGACCTCCGGGAGACCGGGTTCACCTACATTCTCCCGAAGAACCTTCTCAAGCGGTTTGTGTGCATCTCGGATCTGCGGACGCAGGTGGCGGCGTACATGTATGGGGTGAGCCCGCCAGACAACCCCCAGGTGAAGGAGATCCGGTGCATGGTGCTGGTGCCGCAGTGGGGGACCCACCAGCAGGTGTACCTCCCCCAGCAGCTGCCTGAGCACGAGTATCTCAAGGACTTGGAGCCGCTGGGGTGGGTGCATACGCAGCCGAGCGAGGCCCCGCAGCTGAACCCCCAGGATGTGACGCAGCACGCCCGGCTGCTGGAGGGGAATCGGTCGTGGGATGGGGACCGGTGCATCGTGGTCACGTGCTCGTTCACTCCCGGGTCGTGTTCGCTTGCCGCGTACAAGCTGACTCCGGCTGGGTACGAGTGGGGAAGGCAGAACAAGGACGTGTCGGGGAGCGCGCCGCAGGGGTATTTACCGACGCACTACGAGCGCTGCCAGATGCTGCTGTCTGATCGCTTCCTCGGGTTCTTCATGGTACCAGACTCAGGCGTGTGGAACTACAACTTCATGGGTGTGAAACACTCGCCTGGGATGCGGTACCGGCTGTCTCTGGCGCCCCCCAGGGAGTTTTACCATGAGGCGCACCGGCCCACGCATTTCCTGGAGTTTAGTCATCTGGATGTTGCGGCGGCGGCGGCTGCGGCGGCTGAGGGTGCTGGGGCGAAGGCGGCGGCGGGGAGTGGGAAGGCAGCGGCTGGGGAAGGGGAAGAAGCGGACAGGGAGGATGTGTTCACTTGAGGGGTGGGAGGATGGGTGGTGGTGGGTGTTGGGTCCAATGAAACGGCAGCAGCTGAGATGTTGGAGGAATGGGTTGAGAGGGAGAGAGGAGTTGGGAGCAGAGGCAGTGATGGTGAGTTGAAGGGAGAGGGGGAAAGAAGGGGGAAGATGGGAGAGAAGGGAGAGAGATTTGGCCATGCATTGTGCTTCTGCGGGTTGTGTCTGTCTGGTGCATACAGATGGATGGTGGTTGAGGGTGGGTAAGGGTGGTGTGGTGGGTGGGGCTGGTAGCTGCGAGCTACTGCTGGGATAGGGTGGTGTGTGTGTTTTCTCTGCCTGTCACTCTTCTCATCGCCTATTTTTGCAGGCAGCCCAACGCACTTCACTCCCATCTGCGTTGCTGTGCTCTACTTGGTTTGGGGGGGGGGGGGGGGGCGTGACTTGTTGCTGCCATGCCATGGCAGTAAATTTGGGTCACTGAAATTGATTCTTGCTTTGTTGTTAAGCTGACTTCCTTGATTAGTGACTCCATTGATTTTACCAGTGCTTGTAAAGCTGTTTAACATCATGGTGGTTAAAGCTGACTAGCTGAGCCTCTAGTGGAGCATTGGAACTAAAATTTGTCATGAAATCAGTCTGCATCAGCAATTGCTGTTGTGGAATAGAAGTCCCGTGGCATGGCAGCATGGGGCATGGGCGGGCACTGTTGCCGTTTGATTGGGATGGCTCAGCAGACGTTGCCTAGCAGGAGAATTTGCTCTTGGCCCATCTCCTGTAGCATCTGGTGAAGTACAGCTTCCTGCATGACACTGCAGCACAAGTAAACGGTGAGCTTTGTGCGAGATGTGGTAGCAGCAGGGACAGCAGGGACCTCTCATCTGGAGGGTTACCGTACCTGCGTTCTCCACCCCCTCGCTGCTCCCGTCCCCATCATCACCATCATATACAGGCACACACACCTTCCCCCCCTTACATGCACACGCCCTCTTAGCAATTGTGCATTTGCCACCTGGCCTCTGAGCGGATAAGGTGGGACAGGTGGCAGTACTCCCTCCAACCAAGCAGTTGTGGCTGACATCGCAGTCGATGAGGTGGCGGGCAGCAAGCAGCTTGCCCGAGAGAAAGTTATGGTGGATTTGGAGCGACTTGAGTGTGGGGGAGAGGGCGGGGATGGGTCCTGTCAGCTGATTGGCGTAGAGGGATCTGTGACACGAGACAGGGGAAGACAGAAGAGGATGAGAGGAGAATACATGGGGATTCTGGATGTACTTGACGACTGTTGGGGGGGGGGGAGGGATGGAGACTGGAGAAATAGTGAGATGTATAGAGCACGAGAAGGGCTCAATAGGATGAGGAGCTTACAGGAACTCGATGGAGTCAGACTGGGTGAGGTACTGTGGTATGGGGCCATAGAGCGAGTTGACAGACAGGTCCCTGAGAAGACATTCGGAACAGAACACGTGGGCGGTGGATTGAATAGTGCATGCATGCACGGAATGGCTTGGTCAGCCTCTACGGAGTGAATGTCAAAGGTGCAGATGGGTGGCAAGAGCAGGTAAGGGGGGGAGAGGAACTGACAGGTATTTGAGGCGGGGCAGGCATTTGACAACACGGGCGAAGGAGGAGAGCTTGGCGTTCAGCTGGAAGGCGTTGAACGAGCTGGGCAGTAGGAGGCAGATGGTCAGTAGGTTACGATGCGTATGTGTGTGAGAGTGCTTACGGGTGACACTTATTGTACTTTAATGAATGCCAAATCAACACAGAAAATCGTCCAGCAAGATGAATGTGATACAGATGGATGCGCATTGGTGACGTACAGAAGTGTAACGGTTGTGAGTTTAGCGAGGGCTATTGGTAGTTGAGAGAAGCTCCCTCCAATCTCCCCGTCTGGAATCACTGGCGCTCTGTTTGGGATGTGATTGTAACGAAGGCGATGGCAGCAATCATGTTATAAGACAGCCCTAAAATAATCATGTTTACCCAAAATGCTTCAAACAAATTGTTCACTCACATGGATATGGGAAACCCATAGTCATCGCAGATCACCCCTCTGAACCCCGTCCCCATGCCATCATCTGAGCATAATCGCCCTTGGGCCCAGTTTAACCCCGGAGGCAAGGCTAGCTCCCGTGCCACATCATGCATCGCTGCGACTGAAATGGTTAAATGAAACAACTCGAGGGAAAACAGTATGAAAATGAGTTTTATGTACACATAAGTGATTGCATATTTCGTATGAAAAACTGTAGGTTCGAGAGCGTGGGAAAGTGTCTCAGAGGGTCAGGATTCGGTAATGGATTGCTGAAACGGAGTGCAGCGGGTATGGCGAGAAATGGCCAATCTTGATGTTCAATTGGTGGTTTGAGGAGGTGTAATGGGCTACCTATGCTTCCATTGAATGGAATATCCCTTGCTGACGCGACAGCTAGAGAAGATAGTAAGAGGAATGCCCAGACAGTCCGATAAGCTAAGAGGAGCAAATGAACCATCTTCCCCGTTAGACTCAGCTCCTGGGGGAGTTAGAACCTACTTGACAAGCCTTGCTAGTGAATGCTAGAACAGGCAATTCTTCTATCAGTAGCGGCGGAAATCACCTGGATCTTATGGATGCTGTTGCAAGTTCCGTATCCCTATTATCCTCCACTAGGAAGTGAAATTTCAGTGGTGCTTTTCGGGGGGGGGGTGGAAGTGCTTGTTGCAGGGCTGGAGGGTTGAAACTTGAAAGTGGCCCCTCCCTATCCGACCAGTTCAATGTCGCATTTTGCATTTCAGGAATGCGAAAAGCGAGTCGCTCGCAATGCGCTTCGTCACAATCCGCAGAGGCTTTCTGATGCCACATCAGCAATACTCGCCATTGAGTCGCTCATATTCCATCATCTACCCGTCCCTAACCCATTGTGTTCTTACTGAACCAGCAGCATACGAAACGAGCCAATTCCGAAACCCGTGTTAAACCCCTGATTCCCACCCCACCAAGAACCGCAGAACAGGAACGTGACACCCACGCAATCCTAGCGCATACCTGGGCAAGATTCGCAAACCCTACTGTTGAACCCAAGGACCCCTTCCAGACCCTCCTAGACCCCTCCTAAAGACCCCAGCACGGTGGGTTGCGTGTGCTCGCAATCCACCATTACTGGTACTTTCGGACAGACATGCCTGACGATTCCTGTGACATTATGCCTCGACATTGTCGTATTGCGAGTAGTTTCCCTCGTGGCAAGTCAGTGCGACTCGTGAGAGTCACGCAACGAGTCTTGGCTCAACACCTTATGTTGCGAGTATATATGTCTTCGGGCGTCCCGTATCGTGTCTCGTGTTCAGTCTGTGATTAAGAGCGCACGATCAGTGATCAGTGTTCGGCTTTCGCGCCCGTTTAAGCGTTTCGTTGGCAGTCCACCTTCAAGGCTACCTGCAAGTTCTCCGAAGCATTTTTGTGCTAGGCGAAAAATCTCAACCGTCGGCTTAGTGCATCAACGGTCGCCGACTGCAAGAAAGTCTATATCTTCATCTCGGATATCCTCGTGAAGCCATGGGAATGATGGGTCCGGAGAGCAGGAGCCATTCAGGATTCAAGCAGGGTCCCCGCGGGCGGGAGAGCCGCAGTCAGGCGGAGAAGATGAAGAAGCAGGAGAAGGAGAGCAAGACGCAACCCGAGGAGAAGGTTGACGGGATTGAAGACGGGAAGAATGACCCGAAGGGTGATGGGAAGAGCGACGCGAAGTGTGAAGGGAGGGCGGGCACGAGAGGAGGAAAGGTGAACAGGATTCGGCAGGAGGCGCTAGAGCGCGAGAGGGAAGCGCGCGAGGAGAGGGAGGCGGCACGGAAGCAGCAGGCGTGGAGCAAGGAGGACATGAGATTTGCGCGTGAAGAGGCAGCCGTGAGGCGGAACGTTGCTCGGAGTAAACGACAAGCGGCCAAGGTATGGGGCTGTGAGGTGTGATGCGATACATGGGGCGGGGCTGTGAGGTGTGATGCGATACATGGGGCGGGGCTGTGAGGTGTGATGCGAGACACGGGGCGGGGCTGTGGGGGTGTGGTGCGATACATGGGGCGGGGCTGTGGGGGTGTGGTGCGATACATGGGGCGGGGCTGTGGGGGTGTGGTGCGATACATGGGGCGGGGCTGTGGGGGTGTGGTGCGATACATGGGGCGGGGCTGTGGGGGTGTGGTGCGATACATGGGGCGGGGCTGTGGGGGTGTGGTGCGATACATGGGGCAGCACCGTCGCCGTTTACCCGTGGACCGCGGAGGGAGGAGCATGGCTCTGTACACGCGATGCAGCACAGCATTACACGCCATTCAGCACAGCATTACACGCCATTCAGCACAGCATTACACGGGTGCCATATTAATCGCACCCCTCTCACATGCCTCCACCCCTCGTTCTCCCTGCCTCCCTTCCCATCGCTTCTTGCGCTACGCCCCGGCTTGCCATGTCTGTGTGTCCAGGAGAGGCGCAACAGCCTTCTGGATGATTGAGCAGCAGCAGCGTTCCCATGGTGACTCCTCCAAGTCGAGTCCACAGCTACGCATCGGCCCTGGGTGTGTGTCAGGGGAATCGGAATGGCCTTGTACCGTAGATGGGTGAGCAGCAGCGCTATCATCGTGACTTCTCAAAGTTGCCTCAAAAGCTACGCCTTGGCCGTGAGCGCGTGTAGGGGGGGAGGCGGATAGCCTTGTAAGTGATGGAGTAGCAGCAAGCTGGCTGTGTGGTACAGCAAAGAATGCCATGCCCAGTTCATGAAGATCATTCCTCAGTGGAGAAGGGCTCTGCTCTGCTGCAGCGCGTGGTGCAAGGCAGATAGAAGTGGTGGAGTGGGGTGCAAGGTACAGTGGTGGATGTGACAAGGCTCTGTGATCCCCCCCACAATCTTGTAGCTGATGATTGTAAAAGTTGAGGCTGAGTTGAGCTTTGCTAATGCAGTGGCAGTTAGCTGAAGCACTGGCCACATCAGCAGTATGGCCAGCCTTGGGGCTGTATGCAGTTAGTTTACAAGTTGTGTTCCATCTCGTGTTGTGTTGTGAGTGGTTTTTCCTTTACAACACTGCTGTTCAAATCAAAACATTTTACTCTCATATGGTACATTGCTTAACCCAACTGCAGCAGCAGTATGGGCAAAAAAGCTAACAACCAAGCACAAAATAGAGCCTTGATCAGTCAAAAACTACCGCACCTCACACGGGCAAAAACTAGAACCACAGGGGGGGGGAAACTTGACCTACATCTGCTTAACGAGTTGACTTTCAGCAGCACCCCTCTTAGAGCCTGAGCTCCAGGTCAACCGTTGCCAGTTCACAAGCAGCGTGCTTGTCTTGAGCAAGAGCAGCATGCTCACTTACCCCGGGCTCATTCAAAGTAGTTGGAGCAGCAGGAGCAGCAGCGGCAGCGGCAGAATCCATTCCCTGCAGGCATGCACTCTGAAGCCCCATGACCACCGCCTCCAGCGATCTCAGATCCTCCTCCTCCCGAGCAATGTTGGAATGCGCTGTTCTTCCCATGGAAGCTTCCATGAACGCTTCAAGTTGAGCCAGCCCGTCCTTGGCTGCCAGAGCAGCAGCCGCCTTGCTTGCTTTCTTCTCCTGCTGCACCTCTAACTGCTTCAGCACATGCTGCTGCTGCTGCTGCTGCTGCACCTGTAACTGCTCCTGCTGCTTCCGCCACGTGTCCTTCACAGATCGCCCCCACGACCGCTTGCCAGCACTGCTGATAGCCGGAGCCTCCGCGGCGCATGCAGGCGAGGCGAGCGAATCGCTGTCCTCCAACCAGAGGCTGTCGAAAAGCTGCCGGCGGTCCGCGCGCAGGGCAGACTGATGGGGGCGCTGGGTTCCGTGAAGCGTAGAGGCGGAGAGCTGCTGAGCCATGGCTGTCACTGCAGCACTTGCTGCTCCCAGTGCTCCAGCTTCTCCCAATGCTCCCTTCACTCCTGCCACTCCGCCTGCATCCGTTGTGCCAGCTACGCCAGCAGCACCGGACGGGTGAGACGATTTCAGGGTGTGAAAGTGTGAGGGTGACGGATCGGCCTGTTGAAGCTGAAGCAGTTGCTGCATCAGCGCCTGCGGTTGCTGACTCCGTAACATTGGGTGGGCTTTTATTGAGTCCGGTTGTGACGAGGAAAACTTCAACGCTTGGGTGAGCGCGTGAAGGTTGGGAGCCGAGCAGGTGGATGGGAAGCCTCCAAACCTTGTCATGCCATTACCGCCATTAACTCCCTCCAAACCAGCTCCACCACCCCACACCCCTCTAGCCACCAGTCCCGTGCCTCTGCTGATGCTCCCAATCTCGTCGCTTACGGTGGGCGACTGCGACTGGGTTGTTACAGAAGTTACCGGACTGGTGTTCGCGGATCCCCACATCGCTTTGAGTCGCAAACTCCCTGGGCGACGGCGGGATGTGAAACTGCTGGAATGTCGCAGAGGCGAGCCCCTCGCGTCGATTGGACGCTTCGTAGCGCCGATCACGCCGCCTGTCGCGGAGCGGGGTTCGTCGAAATTCTCAAGACTCATCAACGCGTGTTGCGCTGAGAGTAGCTGCTGATGTGGATGTTGATGCTCGTCATGCAGGTGTGACGTAGACGCTGCTGAGCTGGCAAGTGACAACAGCGAGCGCCGCCGTTTGATAGGCTGAGGCTGACAGGAGGCTCCGTAGCCGCCGCATCCGGATCCAGCATGTGGTGCCGCAGACGCCACTGCGTGGTTCACGCAGCTGCGCGACGCGCCGCAGGACACGCCGTGGCGACCGCCACAGGCGGCGCCGCAGCAGGATGTTCTGGAAGATTGTGAGCAGTCGACGCCGCAGGATTGGTGAGGCGAGAGCATAGATTCGGAGCACCGGCGCTTCGCCCATGATCGTATGGGGCGTTGCGCGCGGCACGCGCGTGCGACGCCGTGATAGTCACACACGGTTCCGCGACAGACCGTCGTCGGAACGCCGTGCGATCTGAGAGCGGCATGATTGGCGTGCGACGCGCAAGCATGACTCATGATCGCATGCTGATGCAACGACGATGATGCGATGGAGGCGAAGGAGGGAAGCGAAACGACCGAAGGATCCTTCGCGGTGAGGCCGGCGACGGCCATTTTCATCGCCACATGCTCTAAATCCATCGTGCGGCTGATCCCGCTTCTTCGGAATAAGTACAGCTGAAGGCCTAAAATGCGACTTTTGAGATTTCTGAAAAGCTAACACTAGCTCAGAAAAAAAGTTATGGCGATGAGAAGCGGTATATGGTGAGTTGTGGCGCCACCTTCTTCGATGCTATCAGCGCTGCTCCTGAAGAAGAGAAACTACGTTTCACCTCTGAGGGACTCTACAATTGATCAGCGTTACAGATATACGGAGCTGTTTGACGCGTGACTTGCAGCATTTATCGGACGATGCGAACGAGCACAGGCGTTGAACAGAAGTGGAGAGCGTTTTGCGCTGACTGTAGGAACGGAGTGAAGAGCCTTGTACTGTACTGTAATACTCGAATGTAGGCTACATGTAGGGCGCGGTGGAGCTCAAGCTCGAATGTTTCACGCGCGGATTTCGCGGGGGCAAGACTGTGAGAGCGGCGTGAGGGAGCGGGTTTCTGAAATGACGATGATTAATGCTCGACATTAAATGCGACTCATTGCTCCTCCGTATCACTCCTCCCAATCAAACACGGTGCGGCAGCGTTGTGACCACAAGCTAGGTGATACGCTCCAAAAACGTGCGCCCTGCGCGCCAAACAGAAGCTGTAGAACAAGGACGCTTGAACAAGTAGGGGGCAAGCAAATGGAAAGAGGTCTAGTTGCACTGGCACGCGTGGGCCTGCGCAAGCCGAAGTCTGTATGCTGCCGCGCTGTCTCAGCTCGCACAGTGATGGCTATGCAACTGCCGTTTTCTCTGTTGCTTGCACGATGGCTTGCAAGATGACGGGACTGATCGGCTAGTAGTGGGACCGAAGTGATGAGCGATGCCCAATGCTCAGCGCGCTCATTTACAGTACAACCGGTCGGTCACACACTTGGAGAGGAAGGGAAGGGAAGGCGGGGGAGGTTGGTGGTGCAGTGAAATTTGACATGCCAACGACGACCGAACCGCGGAATGCAATCGAAGAAAAATTACCCGAAGCGCAGGTACAATGTGACGGTCATGGAACTTGGTGACGTGGAAAGGTCAGCGATTTTGTGGCGGAGATCGCTCGGAAGGTCCATTATTGAAATCTTTACTGCTGTTCTTGTTGGTGCTCCCATGAACGACTCCACGATGATTGGGCCATGTAGTTTCAAGTATCGGCCAAGGAGGATTCAGTTGTTCTTTTCCACTCTCGCTTGCAATTCAGGAGAATGGGTAAATGATGCAACTGTAAATCCTGAAACTGGAACCTCACAGAGGTTGTGTTGTAAAACTAGGGTTAACCAAGGCAGCTTTGCTACTGCAGCTGACTGCTGGAACAAGTATGATTGCACATTTCTTTTTAGGCCAGGAGGAACTTAGGTGGGGTTTCCCATAAATATTTTCAATATGGACATGTCACAAACAAAAAAACATACAGAATTTTGGGAGCGAATCAGAGTGCGCGATGGTGGTTGGCTGGAAGGATCTGGTTCTTGTTGTGAAGCCTCGTCCATCCATGGCAGCATTTCAGTTCCCATCATACACCGGATGCCCATTTCAGTCCCGAGCCCCATCTTACTCTGTGCTCCTCTTTCGAGCATGCCCATTATACGGGGAGAATGGGACTGTATCTGGGTAGCCCAGCGTGTCTTGTCTGGGAAACTCGATTAACCTATTCGAGGTCAAGAATATCTTAGCTTTGTCGTGGGCTAGTAACGCGCAGGCCGTTGGCTATGAATGTCGACCACTGGGCGTATGCAGTGGCAGCGGACCTGTTCCGAGTGGGCGTTTGAGTGAGCATTAGGGTGTACCGAGTCATTCAATCGACGTGGCAGAGAGGAGGCTGCTACCGTTGTTGCGTCCATGTCATCAACCCGAGGTGGCCCCTTGCTAGCCGTTAGACGGCTCACACACGCGCTGGTAACTCTTCCCAGATTAAAAGGTCATGTGAGAGACGCCGATTGGAGCCACCTGGCTCAAGCCTGTCCATCCACAGACATACACTCTACACAACTGATGGTGTACAAACGGTGCTGAGAATAGATTTCGCAGAGTGCGATATTGAGGCTTGTAAGGAATTTTCTCGGCATTCCTTACGGAGCCGACTACATCGCGTACAGCAACAGCCGATTGTTCGCCCGTTACTGCTAACGGAACTTCGCCGACTTCGCGCGCACTGTTTTACCAAACCTCGCACGGCTGGCATGGCCGTATCGGCCTACGCTTCGGGACTAGCCCGAGCCTCGCTCCAGCGTAGCACTAGCAAGCTCGCACGCACCGCGTTACCGTTTTGCATGTTTCGCGTATAAATGTTCGCTCATGCCTTCGCTCACATTTTGTACTCGTTTGACACCTTAGTGCAATTCTCGCTACCTCGATTCATTGCACCCGTAACACTTGGTATCAGAGCCCCTTTCTTTCGAACCGCGCATCTCCGCACACCAGGAAATCAACTTTTGATTTTTCACTCGAAGGGACTCACGCACCTTAGCCCTTAGGAGCCGCTGTCCTCGCGTTCTCTCGTAAACGCGTGCAGCCACGACTGCGCCTAGACTAAGACGAGCCGACGCCCTTCGTCATGGCCGAAAACATCGACGTCACCACTCTCACGCAGGAGCGTTTGAACGATCTGCTGCGACAACTGCACGAAAGCTCCGAGGAAATCGCGGCATTGACGGCAGAACGCTCATCACTGCAAAATGACCTCCTGAGAGCACAATCTCAAGCACCTGGCACTCCGATTCAACCCGCACCCTCAACATCACAACACGGGAGTGTGGGGCAACCCGCGAGCGCGGCCAGTGATGGCGTCGTCCGCCCCGACGGAGACGACGACCACGGCACGACACACCCCAGAGCGACGCCTGCGGCCCCAAGTCAGCCTCGCGTCACGATTTCGGCACCAACCCACGATTCGGGACTGCCGTCACCGATGCCGCTGAAGCCGCAGCGCCCGCCATGCTTTGACCCGAGTCAACGGGGTGGTCCTACCGTTCAGGCGTGGTTATTCACAATGAATGTTTTCTTCGACGCCAACTACGTCTCGGAGGACTCGGCGAAGATTCGATACGCCGTGTCGTTGCTGCGAGGACCCGCCATGGACTGGTGGCGCGTCATCGTCACGAAGCCGACCGACTACGCGACACTACCGATACGGGAAGGAAAAACCGGACCCTGGGCGCCGTCGTATTTCGTGGAGGTGCCCCAGTATCGCACGTGGGACGCGTGGTGCGCAGGTCTGCGCGCTCGATTCGAGCCAATCGCGGCCTCGATCTCGGTGCGACAGAAGCTCCGCACTTGGCGCCAACTCGGTTCCGTCCAGGATTACACGAGCGGATTTCTGGCGCTATGCGAGCAGGTGGGCTACATGCATGAGAGCGAACGCATCGACCGCTACATCGGCGGCCTGAAGCAGGACATCGCTCAGGAAATCCAGCTTCGCGGCGTCACTGAGTTTCAGGAAATTCTCGCTATGGCGGAGAAGCTCGACTTCTTTCGCCAACCGAGACCGGGGTCCTACGGAAACAACACCTGGGGACATCGGCCTCGTGGGACGAACGAGAGCGCCACGATACGCGCCGTCGCCGCAAATGCCGCTGCCGCACCGTTCAAAGGGCGCTGCTTTGCGTGCAATCGGCCGGGACATCGCAAGAGCGAATGCCCGGAAAACGCTAAGGGAAAGGGGGAAGCTGAGCAGCAGACACAGACCAAGCAGCAGGGAAACGCTGGAAGTCAGTAGCAGACGGGCCCTCTACTGACAGGTCACGCCGCTCGCCCGACCCAACCGACCCTCACCGAGTGATTGTGCCGGTTCACGCAATCGACCACACCCGGCCGAATAAGGAGGGTACCACGGTAGATAGCCCTATACTGCTCAGTGGGAAAATTGGGACGGACTTAGTTAAAATCTTCGTAGACGGGGGAGCCAGCCACAGCCTCATTAACACTGCCACAGCACGCAAAC